TTTGTTTTTTTTTTTTTTTTTTTCATACAAGTTTGTAGGCTTTTTGACATTGGAACTGGCTTTTTGATCTGTGTTTGTAGTATCATTCTGACCTGGTCAGCAAGTGGGGTCCATTCACCCAGGCACTATAAATGGTAGGAAATAGTAATACAGAAATCATTTCATGCTTCTCACCCCTCCTTCTTGTTATCTCTGAACTCCCCCTCCTTCTCCATATCTCTTTTCTTTTTTTTTTGGATTGTCTGTATGTAAGGCCATAGGAGGATATACTATTGACTTATATTCCTCAATGCTTGGGTATGTCTCCCACTGTTGATAGTGTGAGACAGTTACTTAGATCTTGGAGAGTGCTGGTTGAAATGCAGTATACTGTTTGGAAGTGCTGAATAGGTCTCAAATCTGGTGGAGATTGAGAGAACAGGATCTCTGAAATCTGACTTTTTTGCCTTACAAATTTGTGCTGATCTTTAGTGTCCTGGCTGTGTATGTTCCTATAGTAAAGTTTGATTACTTTCTATGATCTTCAGGAGAAAAGTGAGCTTTTTTCCATTCCTGTTCCTTCTTTGCACAAATCTGCCAAATAATAAGATTTTGAGCACCCTTAAGTATATTCTACTTTGCTTGGATCTACAACAACCTCCAATAGTCATACTGTGACTTTACCAAAGAGATGCCTTACCAAGTGAGAGTTTATGGCTGTCATTATCTGGATGGCAAATGAGTCTGACATCCTCCTGATGGCTGCAGTCGTGCTTTCCCCACTCTCTCCTTGAGCACTGCAGAAGGTTTGTCTCCTTCCCCGAGCAGCTGACATCATCCAACCAGATAGGCCCAGAGCTTCCTTCTGAGTAGCTCTCAGGAGCACTTTTTCCATACCTGGATAACACATATGTATACATAACATTTTGGTCCACAGGCATCAGAGGACATGTGATGCTTAACCACTAGAAGGGAAATAAATTATTTCTGAAGAAATAAAGGTTTTTCAAGTAGTAACAGTAAACAGTGTTAACCATGACAGAGCAGATACAGTTAACATTCAATTCAATGAGAGCATTATATGCCGATTCTTTGGTAATGTTTTTTCAAGGAATTACTGTTACTTTAATGCAAACGTCAGTATGCAATACCTTTGATTAAGGCCTTCCTTCAACCAAGCATATGACTGTGTCACTGAGACTTAAAGCATGTTCTCAGTATTATATATACATTTAAATGTCACAGCCCAGGGAAAAATTAAACAAAAATGTTTTTTGAATGTAAACTGTTATAATCTGAAGGCAAGACAGCAATCACCTAGTGAGAGCATGTCTTTGTAGCCACAATCAGTAGGAAAAGTAGTGAAGAGTGAATGCATGAAACTAATGGGATTTTTTCTAAAATATGCTTTTCAATATCTAATGGTGTTCCAGGGGCAAACTGTGGGTTTTTCTGAGCTAGATCCAGAATGGCTTATACCTTGAAAATGTCTGTGATTCTAAGCAAAGATTTTGAAGAATCAAAGTTTTATAGGCAAAACAGAATACAACAAATCAGTTTTTCTCTCTAGCGTATGCATTGATTGATCTCAGCCAAAAACATGATTGGAAGAAACTCGGTGAATAAAAGCTGCTCAATCACAGCCTCAGTTGAAGCTTTTTCTTCTACCTAAACTGAGGCCATAAATATCTCTTCAAGACTGAGAGGAGCAAGCTTTAATGGATTTTAACTTGGTAGTTTCTATGAAGCACTCGGGTAATATTAAAAAAACAGACTCTTGAATAATGTAGAGTTCATGTAAATGTTTGTTATCATTGTCAAGTCAAAGAGTCAGATATCTAATATCAAGTAATCTTACTTAAATCCCAGCTGCCGGCAAACCACCTGTGTATTCAGCTCTGTCCACCCATCATCGCAGATTGTGCCCCACTGCCCAGTATAATAGACCTCCAGGCGTCCCTCATGACTGCCTTTCCCACTTGTTAGTCTTAATGCACCATCTGTGTCATTAACAAGTAAGGAAAAACAAAAAGAAGAATCAGTTTTTCATAGGTCCAATTATTGTTCTAAAACAAAATTAGTAATATTGCGTCTACTGCATCTGATCAGAATATTATACTACTAAATCTAGTGCTGAGCACTAGATGTCATTTAATAACATGAAAGAAATGCCACAATGCAGCTGGTCAGCTGTGAAGTGTTGCATAATGCACTTGCTTAAATGCAAGAGAAATGGCACAAAATATTGACCCCCCCCAAGCCCTTATTTAGATGCCAAGTCCACATCAGCGGGCTCTGATTATATGATTTCACTGTCTATACACCTTATCTTTTTCTTCATATATTCTGTTATTTCCCATTGCTTTAATGCTGAAGTGCTTACTGCCATTGATAGATGTGATACACAATTCAGGCGTGCCCCACATAATAGGTGGCAGTTAGCAGGTTACTGAAGAACCAAGGATTTTTGTTGTATAATGAGATCTTCTGTATCTCTAAAATTTCCGTAGCCAACAGCTGGTTCATTTTGATACTGCCAGAACACTTTACTACTGTGGGGTTTTGTACGTTTGCAAGCTTTGAAAATTCTCTTTCCAGAGCTGTGAACTCTGCATTTGACGCTGTTTTCCTGTGTGGTTATTGATAACCAAAGTACCTGTGAGAGGCGTGCACGAAACACCAGCATCTTCTTTGTGGCCACAGTTGTGTTCTCTCCAGGAGTTTTTTGGACACTGTTCTATGGATAGTTCATTTCCTGTGCACTGCACTTCATCCAGCAGCACGGGGCCTGAGCCTTCTCCAAAGTAAGCCTGGCTCCATGCCTTGGCAACACCCCTGTGGAGATGTAACCAACACCCAGTCAGGAACAAGCAAGCTGAAGAGTCTGGGACTCACTGGGGAAAGCTAAAATATTGCATATCCAGCTTCTAAAATAGCAGATGGGACTGCCTGAATAGCTGCTGCAGTGATAACTGACAGTGCAGCCCGCTTTAGGTCATGTAATGGGAAGTGGTTTCCCAGTCAGCTTCAGTCTCAGCTGAGACTATGGGGTTACTTAAACCGTTTCCACACTTCCACAGTTTGAACATATTTAGAACATCAGTTTCTATTGTTTGTATCGAAGAGATTTTCCTGTTCCGTCCCTTTTGATTTTTAAGAATAACTTTCCTAGAAAGATTATAGATGTACAGCTGAGGTGTGAAGATTCTAATTTTAATTTTCATTTATTGTTTATATGTAGTAAAAATAATCCGATATATATTTCTACAGTGACTTTCACCTGTTGTCCTCAAAGCATATGAATCAAATCTCAAATACACAGATGAGGCAGATAAAAGCGAGTGTTTCCCCTTTAGTCATGTAACAAACGTGGCAAAGAGTTCTTAAGTGACTTGACAATGTCACATCACCAGTCAGTGGCATAAGTAAGAAAAGAAAACAGACCAATGACTAGCCTTGTGTGTTACACTCTTTATGTCAGCACAGACCATTTTGAGCACCAAAACCTACATAAATTGAAAAGGCTCCATTGTTTCAGCATTACAGAAATCATGCAGTGTTTAACACTTGATGATGTATCAGGATTTTTCTAATTCTATTTAAGATGCCATGTCTTTCATATGTAAATGTTTTTCATGGTTTGGTTTCTTTGTACTCAGTGGTTTCTCTGTTCATATATCCTGTCTAGTTTTTATAGGACTATTCTCAATACCTGTCTTCTTTTTCAAATTGTAAGGCTGCAATATCTTTCTAAATTTTTTACTATAATGAATTACCTATCGAAAAGATTAGTTTAAATTCATTAACATACAATTTGGGTGCAGGGCTCTATACTAATTATTAATTTGCTTTAAAGAGAATTTTCCACTACCAGCCATACATTGTCACATAACACCAAACAGGAATGGCATGTTCAGCTTGTACTGAAAACATGACAGGTCTTGACTCTTTTGTTTTGGGATGTAATCGTTCAAACTCTTACCTGGCTTTTGCCACTGTGTGTCAGAATAGTACATTGCTGTGATTTATTTTTTTTAATGTAATTTGCAGCAGTTCATGTTTTTAAGGCACTGACTTGTTAATCCATGTATGGATTTAGGTAGATGTGTATTTCATTTCTAGTGCTTTGTATGAAAACATAACAATTTATGTTCTCTCTATTTTTAAAGGAAAACAATAATAAATTTACAGTTAGCAATCATACAAATTCTTGATAAGCAGTAAAGAGATATGGGAAAATAACAATATTAAGTGGCTTGTAAAAATTAACGTAGGATCAGGAAAAAGTTCTATAAAAAGGAAGGATATGGAAATTCATGACAGACTGTAGATGGTAGTGTTCGGTAAATAAAAGCACACACAATAAATGTAAATTAAGTAATCTGTTGTTTGCATTTTCATTTTGTTTAAAATAAATTTGTTTTCAATATTTTCAAGGTAATGTGCTTTGTTAGTCTTGAAAATGCACTGCTAATTTTTACTGTTTCTTTGATGACCAGATGCATTCTTCAAGTGGCGAAGAATATGGAAAACACCAAAAAGCAGATCTTATTTACTCAGTAGGGAGAAAAGTTACAATCAGCAATTGCTTCAAAGAACCAGGTAAGCAAACCAAAAACATCCTTAAGCACTCAGCAGGCAACATTTTAGCAAAACACATAGCTTCAATCAGAAGTTACTACCTTTGAGAGAGCTTTTTAATTTGATATTACCTTTTCTTTGGAATGAACTTCCTATTCCAAATAACATATTAACAGATATCTTGCTCTAATTTTTCTCATTTTGCAATGCCAAGAACAATTTTAATAGATTAGAAATTATATTTTTCCCTGAGATGTACAAGAATTTCCTGATTGCCCTAACTCTTCTTTCATGTAGTTTGTTAAGTAACGATGTATTTTTATATATAGCATTAATTTACTGAACACTTGCATTTTGCAATGCTGGTAATGGCAAAAAGAGCCAACTCCTTCATCTCCTGTGTTTCATAAAGAGCTGCTTTCCAAATTGGTTGAAATTGTGAATGACCATGTAGTAAACTAAGAAAATATAATCCATAGGATACACTAAGGGTAATACTTATTTCAACTACAGATATCCCATTTATATTTAAGCATCTAAATAAATGTCTGATGTACCAAGATGGGCTCTGTGAGTTCTCAGCACTTCATGCTAGTTTTGTAGAATTGAATGAATATGGACCAAAGAGCCTGCTTTCAGGATACCTATTTTTATTAATATTACCCTAATATATTACAGGCTTATTACAGAAAGCCTTTTACTGATAGCTTTTAAGATTATTCTACTTGTATATTTATATGTGTCATTTATATGTATAAGAAAAATTATGTTCATTTAAGTTTGTTGAGTAGTATTTCCACATATACAAACTTTACACAAAAAGAAAATTCTCTTACATAGCTTCTGCTTCTTGTATTTTTTTAATTCTGATGCTGGTACGAATGTATAGAAAATGTCAGAAAAAAATCCTTATTCATTGGGAAGCTTGCTGAAATCAAAGAGATAATGCTTGACTACTCTGAATGCTGAAAACAAATTATACCATAATCTAGTAAGATTCTGTGGAGATCCAATAAAGCAGAGACAACAGATCCCATTACTATAACAAGGGCAATTTGTATCAAGCAAAAAGTATTTAGAAAACTAAATAATAAAATAAATTATCATTATTTTTCACCTATTAATGGTAGATTAATACTCTGAAGTTTTATAGGAGTGCCACAGGAAAGCTGAAAAGGTGTGGGAAGCTACTTACTGAGATGCTTTACTGTTACAATTTGTGGCAGGTTTCCAGATGGACTAAGAGTATGCAATTTTAGATTATTGTTATTACTTCATAACTGGTCTAGTGCCACTGTTGGTAAAATTTCGCTTCTCAGTAATGAGCACATTTGTCAAGATATCTTGATTACTTGAGAAATTCTGTAAATCCCTAGACGAACTTCAAAAAGATTTAGCACCACATTAATACAATTTGTTTACTCAGAAAAATGAATCAAATTAGAAGTGTCTCAGAACTGCAGTTTCTGAAATATGATTAAATATAAGTAATCAAATGTTTTAGTGTAATCAGTAAGGAGGCAGTTTAAGAGCATGGCTTTTGTCATTAATATACAGAAATGTAAAGCATAGCTTCATAACTCCCCGAACTTCTTAATAGTGGCCCGATTCAAAAGCAGAAAAAGCTTGTAAGAAGACAGACTTTCTATTAACTATTCCTAGCTAAAAATGTACAGCAATATAAAAATAAAGCATAAAATAAACTGGGGAAAAATTAAAATCTTATATCAGAGGAGCATGTTGATTCCCACATGGCCCACCAGGAGATCTAGAAAGTGCACAGTTCTCATCTTTTTGAGCTAATTTGGGTGGCACCAGCAGTCCAAGGCCTCAGTTTCACATTACAAAACACGAACACTGGGGGCCACCCATTAAACGCCACAAAGCTTGCTACCTTCAATGCCACTTCTTTTAATTCATCATAATCCTAGCAGGGTTGAACAGGCAAGTTCTGTTCCAGTCTCCTCCGCACTGACCTGCTTAGTTCTCATCCAGTCTCAGACATAATCCCCTTCTTCTTGGGTTTACATCTTTGTGTCTTCTCTGTATCTTGCTCCTAGTTCAACCCATCTGGCCTTTCATCCCAATTGTCCCCATCTCCTTCCTCTCTCATCCAGCAGTTCTCGTCTTTGCCTCCCACTTCTGCAGCACCTTTCCTCAAATACTGAATATTTATCTTCTGTGTGATATTAAAATCACCCCCAGCTGTTCAGAAAGGGAGCAAGAAAATCCTGTTCTGCTGCTGTGACTGTATTAATGGACCATGCTTAGTTCAGACAGAATCGCTGACAAGCTTAACTGTCAAAACTTCAAACAGATCTCTACTCAGTATATGCAAACTGACAATCTTCAGAGACTTGTCACTTAAACAAATCTTGAGAAGTTTCACGGCAATGCGAAAAAGCATATCCTTTGTGACGAAGCAGTGCTCTCACTCCAAAGCAAGGAGGCTGTTAGACTCTTCAGTAAAATGTGTCAGGATTTTAACAGTCAAAGCAACTTCCTTTACTTCACCTACAGTTTTCGATTGAAACTTTACTGAAATTGTAGTGAGTTTTCACTAAGTAAAAGCCTTTATTCTGAGACACATCCTTTGTCTGTCCTACAGACAAAATTGCCCCTATCACATGACACTGAAAACTGGATCCTACAAATCAAAATTCCAGGTAATAGAAAGTAATGATGCTATACCTGAACCTTCTGTAAATAAACTTAGTTACTGTTTCAAAGTACTACTGCAATTTTAAAGGAGCATCTTTTGACAACTCCAAGCTATGTGTCTGATTAATTCTGCTTTGCAGTTGGAGTAGAAAATATGTAGAAAAACAAACCCAAGGCCAAGCTGCCGACAGACAACTTCAGCATCTGCATCATCCCACTGATCATCACAGACAGTTCCCCACTGGCCAGCGTGGTAGACTTCTACTCTTCCTTCATGAGCATTGTTCCCACCAGCCAGCCGGATCGGAGTAAAGACAGGGGCTGCAATCAAACATAAAGTATAGGAAAAGATAATTTCTTTCCCAAAATGTTGTCCTGATAGTAAAGAAAAAAGAAGATAGCTTAATGGTTTCTCTGACATCACTCAAGATCCAGACTTTATTTTTTCTAGTTAGATGGAAAACCTGAAATTAATCGTATTAGAAATGAGTTCCCCGAAGCTCTCAGTAGCTGAAGAATATTATGCAGACACATAATCATACTGATCTTGAGTTACTTAAGTGTTCAAAGATACTTAGGGCTGTAAGGCAAATACTACAATCAGTCTGTAGAGCTGCATTTCTAACAGTAAGAGCAAAATTGGCTCTGTATAGTCTTGGTCCTATACAGGAGAGGAGGGTAAAATTTGAAGTAAGAGTCTATAAACTGAAGGAAAACTTTATGGTCTAAAAGTACAATTTGCAAATTTATAGTTTGCAGTTTCTTTAGGCAAAACTATTTCTCTTGCTTTGGTGCTTCAACTTGTCTCCTAGCTTAAAAAGATTCTTCCTTCCCTGTTTTCTAAATGACCAAAATGATTTTTTAGAAGCCATTTATCAAAATATTCCTCATGAATAGCAGAGCTTTAGGACAAAAATATATCTGTCTTTTGATACGAATGCAATAGGAGAGGAAAGGCAGCACAGACCTGGCTTGTAGCCACACATGTTCTGGTTACAATTGAAGAGATTGTCATTGTCAGCTCCTCAGCACTGATAGCCTAGCCTTCCTCGAGGTCAGCAATATCTTATATCTGATGGCATAATTGCCCTTATAGTTGCCATATATCATGTTCATTAAAATAATCTGAAATTTCTTTAAAGCGTTAATAATATCATTTTGACTTGTGTGAGTGATGTGTTAAGTAGCAATCTTCAGCTAGGAGGACTTGGACCTGTTTTAAATGTATGCAGAATAGGGCAAAAACTTGGCAGTTCCTTGTGTGATATCATCCATGTTCACATTATGGAATGTCATCCCAACACTTCTGTAGCAAAGGTGGCGGTGTAGCCTGTTTGTGAAATTGCTGCTGCTCCCTACTGTTCAAGAAAAGCTAACAAATTGACATGCAGCATATGTAGCTACCAAAGACAACCTTTGAGTAGACAAATAAATTAATAAATAAATAAATGTTTTTTTTTAAAAATGGGGAGGGGGAACAATTCTACTTCTACAGCCAGAGATTTTTGCTGCTTCAAACTTTCTCACAACCTACATCTCAAAGCAATAATTTGCTTGTTGATTATAGAAAGGTTAAAAGCAGTTCAGCTAGTTGCTGCTTGCACAGAGTCGGGGGACTTGAAACAGTTAATGATGCAATGATTAAATCTATTTAATTTCCTGTTCCAAGAAGTTGTAGTATTTTTTTCTAATTTAAACATGAGTAATTACTACTAAGGTAAGGAGTTAACCAAACCATAAGTATTTTTTTTACCCAGGGAAGAGCTACATGTGACAGCAGCTGCCATTTTTTGAGGACATGTTCCATCTTGCCAGATGACTTTTTCACATAACAGTATATTTTCTTCATCACCACGACAACGCACTTCACTCCAGTAAACAGGAACAAGACCCAGTCCGGAAAATGGTATGTGTTTTGCTGTACCTTTTCCACTGTAAGAATAATAATCAGCATAGCACGTTAGAGTGGGAGGAGGGGAAGTGGAACATTTTCTCATAATCAAATCTTGGAGTAGGAAAGAAAGGGCTTTCTTCAGCAGTGTAAATTCATCACATTCTCATACAGTTCAGCATTGTCTTCTGCACAAAGAAAAGTAACAGATGTGACCCAGTTCTCACCATTTTGTTGTGTGATATTTTAGTACAATGGCCTGTGTTGCTGCAGGCCAGCTACATTCCTGTTCTCGCTCAACACAGAGTGCACAGTCCATAGGTGAAACTACACTACCATCCTACTGCTATTATACTTCCATGAGAGGTAATGCTAACCAGCCTTTCACCCTTACCCTCTCCTTTACCCCATTAAAACATATCAATGCTCTGCCCATACACGTCATATAATACGGTTGTGACCATGGGGCAGTGAAACCACCTCGTATTCCATTGGATCAGACCCATGTCCGTTATGCTCTATTCAGCCATTCCTATCCATCCAGAACATTTTAAAACAGCTTCCTTTCCTTCCTGTACTGAATTTAAAGCTGCAATTATTGACCCATCTTTTGTTGCAGCAAAATTAAATTAAAAACAAAGCCCAGATACCGCAAAATCAAATTAACAGATAGATGGAAGCACCTGAAAAACACCAATAATACCTAGTGAGTTCACCTTGTGGTATATAGATCCAAATTTATGCCAGTCATGATAATAGAAACTTCCAACTGCTGTTTGCTTGGGGCTTTTTGGCCTGGATTCAGATTTAAGCCATTTCTGTTGAAAAGACCAAACCACTCACCCATGTCACTGAACTACTTTTGCTAATAGCAGTCTTGTTCAACTGAAATGTTTAGGGTATGAAAGGGAAAAAGAACTTACACGAAAATGAGGAAAGGGGACATTGCACGTAGACAGCTGAAGTCATAAGCAAAATCACAGCCTCCAGATGGCTGAACTTTTATCTCTTCTAATCCTCATATTTTTATAAGTTGGCATGTTGTGTGCAGATTAGTATTGAACATTATAAAACAGCTTAGATTTAGTTCTGGCTAGCAGTCTTAAAAAGTGGAATGATTATTAGGAATGTCACAGTGCAAGTATGCTATAAAAGCCCCTTACTGCTTGTAGCAAAAAAAAAATCAGTACTTTGGTATGTGACTGAAAGAACTGTTAGAAAGGCAATAAAGCCAGCTATACTTTGTGGCTTATTGAGAAAGTGCAAACTGAATGGGATGGTAAGGGGGCATATTCAAGTAATGTGGTTGCTAACTTGAACAGCATTGATTTTTTAGAAGCTGAAATTTCGTTTCATTTTTAAAACTCCTTTTTGGTATAGGCATTTTCTTCCTTACCTCAGTTTTTCTTACTGCGCATTTGCAGTATCACTGTAGGCATTATCTAGAGTTTAATGACCAAATTATGCTAAAGGGTCCTGTTGATTAGCTCCACACTGACAGCAGTGGGAAGTAGTGGTCAATGAGGACAACGAAGGGACTTTCAACCTGTCCAATATTGCTGTAACTCTGTGAAATGTTTCCATGAAAATGTAAAGCTGCAAAAACTTCCCTGGTTTTGGTTTCAGATATCAATTTGCAACTCTGAAAGTAAACTATATGAATTATCTATCTAGATGAAGATATGCACAACAAAAATACTAGGATGAGTCCCAGATGTTTTTTGACAGGATGGAATGGATGATTATGAGGGTAAGCCCATGTTCCTGAGAAACAGAAATTTTCCTATGGTTAGGAGCCCATACAGAGTCTAATTCTGGCCATATTTATGTTTGTATAGATTCAATAACCTTACTGGAGCTGTTCTTAGTTGACACTTACGTAAGTGAGATCAGGATTAGACCTCATATTTCTGCCAAGAGCATCTACCCTGCTCTGCTCCTCTCCAGATCCCATATGGAGCTTTCAAATGAAATACTGATTCTCACATCAACCTTTTTGAAGTACAACACAATTGTAGGAAGCGAAGGATTCTGGGAAGAACAACTTCAGCATTCAACAACTTTCAAACAGAAAAAATAGTCATCAAACACAAAAAGCCCTCAGGATTTGCAAAGTAGATTGTCCATTATACTGAAGCATCATTAAAATAAGTTGACTGATTTTTACTAGGACTGAAACTTACCCAAGTGCAAGCTGTCGACATATGACTGTTGCATCATTGTTGTCCCAATGGCTCCCACAGATTGTTCCCCAGATTCCATTCAAATAAACTTCCACTGTACCTTCAAACTCATTCTTGCCACCCTGGAGTCTCACTGACCCTGGTTAAAAAAAAAAAAAAAAGCCTCCAAGATATTCCATTGCTCAATTAACGTATCCCACACAAAAGACTCCAAACCTGATTTTCCTACTGCAGAGAGAGTTTCTGTTTCATGTATTACCATCTCTGTTCATTTTGAGTGAGCTGCTTCTAAGAAGGACTGTGGCACATCTAAGTTTCTTATACAGCAATATGCAAAAGGAGATAACCTTATTTTTCACATGAGGAAAAATTTTGCTTCTTATACTGAAATTACATCACATTTCTGATCCTTCTGATGCTACAACTTAGTTAAAGATCTAACACGAAAAATAAGTATATATAGACTACACCTTAATATTTAAATGTGGTTACCTCTACGCAAATGAGCAAAACATCTATCTATAGAGTGCTGTACTTTTATCTTCCACATAATTCTATCCAACAAAAGGGAATCAGAAAACAACCACATGGACTGCATAGCTCTTGCTCTGACCCATGTAACTGTGCATGTCATGGATGTCAGCAGTTTATTTTAGCCAAATAATTCATTTGTTCGTACTTGTTCTCAGACAGAAAAACACTGGATGTAGTTCTATTAATTCATGAGGGATCTTTACCATATTTGCAGACAAAATAAGCTAAAACCATGAGGAATTGTCTAAAAGAAGTGGCAAAAAAATCTGCTTCTTGAGAGCTACAGAATACAGAAATCCAAGCAAATAAACAGATTTTGTATTTTTTTATTACAGGAGTTTTACTTGAGATGCCAGATGCATCTGCTGTTAAAGGTAGCCAAGTGCCTTGGGAACTAAAGGTGGGGAAAAGCTGGTCATAGGTGTAATTCTACAGAACTCTACACAAGCAGAACAAAGAGTCGAAACAGAGCAGTAATTCAACAAGAATACATTTCTGGTAAATTATCAAATGTAACCTAATTGTATGCATTAGTGTTGCCTGAAATCTCACTCAATCCATCTGTCTCTTTCCTGTGATCTACTTAAAATTGAAAGCCACACCATCATCCAGTTTGCAGGATTTTTACCAGTGGGAGAAAAGTCAATGTTTGTGCCTGCATTTCATTGTATGTGTGTTATCCATCTGTCTCTTTCCTGTGATCTACTTAAAATTGAAAGCCACACCATCATCCAGTTTGCAGGATTTTTACCAGTGGGAGAAAAGTCAATGTTTGTGCCTGCATTTCATTGTATGTGTGTTCAGATATGTGTAAAAAAAAAAAAAAAAAACAACCAAAAAATGTAGTAGGTAGATCCAGTTTTTCTTGCAGCTTTCACTCAGATTGCATCCTGGTTTTAATTTAGTTCACTGTATTTTGTAAAACCACAAAGCCAAACAACTGCCAAATAACTCAAGGAATTAATTAACCTCAAATTTGGTTTTGTGTGTTCCTATTTGCCTCCTATTTACTTTCTCAGCAGTAACTTACTGTGCAGTAAATTGCAAACAAAACCTATTCAACTCATGTTACAGAGTGTGTTATCCTTCCAAATAGAGGATTAGTAATTAGTTATTATAACAATACTGTATACAAGTTGCACATTATTTATCTGTCTTTATAATTTTTCTCTTTGTATTTTTCTGTCACATACAGACAGTCTGGAATTTTGTTTACTTCTGCTTTTCACCAGACTTCTGTATAGACTATTATTTTCATTTGAAACATCAACTGCAGTCATAGCAAAGTGATTCCTGACATACCAGAAAGCAATTTTGAGGATGTCATCTCCAAAAATAAGTTTATTTTCTTACATGATTGCTTATAGTCCTGCATGACACCTACTGAAAACAATGTAGTGTTTCCTGAGTACACATTACACAATATTTCTATTTAAGTATTTGAGTAAGGGAGTACTCAAAGAATAAAATTATTTTCTAAGATCTCCATGGCAGAATTTGGCTCACTCCTTTTTCTGTTTATAGAATTTCCAATGACAACAGTGGAAGAATATTCATGTACACAGAGCAAAAGATAGTACAAGAGATAACTTTTGCACAACAGTTAAAAATGAAAGAAATCTGAAATCTCTGGTAGAAGCCTCAGGAAAGAAGTTTGAAAAGCACAGAGTTCTCGCTGCGGATGCATGCCATTAAACAAAGAAAACAGCCATCCCCTCGCCACCCACTTTCCTAAAGAACCCTGGGTGATTTCTGGTCCCTGTTGAAGTGGGAAAACACACTACTGATATCAGTTGGTAAGGAAGGGAAAATTACTGGAAGGGACAGTGCCTTATTTCCATGTGCCTGTGGGAAATGACATAGATGAAAACAGTATGTGAGGGATTTTTGAAAAATTAATCTAATATCTCAACAAAATATTTTGGTTTGCTTTTTTCCTTTAGATTTACAACCGTGTATGGGAACACCAATGTTTTATGAAGGGTAGTAGCATTCATGACAGACCTTTGTTCATCTCACAAGAAAATATGATAGAGAACCAGCTTCTGTCATACAGAAGAGAAAGCACACAGGATGACTGTTAAAGGTAATTTTGTAAGAAATTTTAAATAGCCTCAATTTTCACCTGAGAAGTTACTCTAGAAAGAAGTAAAAATAAAGCCTATTTTTCCATGCAACTAATATTAAATCTTTTATTATGCCTACTGTTTAATAGCGTTAAACGCATATAAGGTATAATAATTCTAACGTGCTGGGTGCTCTAACTCACTACTTTTCTCATAGGACAGTATTGATATCTGCAGCTCTGATTAATGTAAACCATCCAGGGCAAAATCCAGCATTCTCTCCTCAAGCAAAACAATAAGTAAAACCATTTTTTTAAAAGAAAAGTCAGAATTGCAAACCATCTGAAAGGTTAATATCTCTTAACATTTTTTTCTAACTCCAGTCTAAGTGTTTCTAACTCAGTTTTCCAGCACTGAATTCATAAAGAGTAAAATGATACAGTATTTTTTGTCTCATATGCAGTTTGAAGTATGTATCAACCAATATCATATGACAAGTCATAATTATGTAGCAAACAAATCAAAGGACACACTAATGAGAAAATTATTAATTACATACCTTGAGGTATTCAGACCCCTACTAGTTATTTTACTGGATCAAGAGATACATTAGTTACAGTAACATGGGTACCTCATAAAACAAAACTCTAGAACACAGATTTATTTTCAGTAGCTTATTTTTTCTTTCCAATAGATAAGACTCTTATTTCATAAAGAAACACATTTTTGTGCTTCATGTCTAAATTGATCGTAGGGAATTGCAAGATGACCAACATAATCTGCCATCATATATGCTTATCCGATTATCAAGTATCTATTACTCATTATTCAGTCTTTAAGATTCAGTTATTAAGAATGTGTTAAGGTCTTATTTGCAAGATAATCAATGTTTGCATTGTTAAAATGATCAGGAAACACTCTTTCACTTCACAGGCAGCAAGAAATTTAATATAGCGTGATTAAAAGGGTACTGACTAATTCTTAATTTCACTGGTTAAGTCTTCTACTGTTAGATTTTAACACCTCAAGCCCACCCCAACACATCTGCCCACGGGGCTTCTTGCTGTGTTCCCCTAGGGCACAAGAAGCTCTGCAGAAGAGCATCTGAATTACTTCTCAGCAAACAGGTCTGGCTTAAGCGTATGCATTGGAGGCTCTAGGTTTCTGGAGTCGTAGACACGATAGCATCTCAGTTTTTTAAGCTATAAGTTTTCAGCTCTTTTAGTTGCTGAAGAAAACTAAACACATTGGGAGTAGAGCTAATGCAGTAGTATCTACTGTGGTTTTTATGCAATGCTCTGAGAAACTCACACTCTCTTCCCTCTCCACCAAGCCTCTCCTTATAGGGCTTATCAAACCTTCACTCCTCAACACCAAGCTCAACAGCAGGGAACATGAGTACAAGGATCCTGCCCATGGCTCTCAGTGCCCTCCTTAGCACTGGTCAGGACGAGGAAGAATGAGGAGAGGTGAAATGACCCCATGAGAGTTAGAAATAAGGGCATAGGACCACAAAGCAGGCTAACTAAGCAGCTCTAGGACACATACTGCAGTCTTACGACAGACTTAATTCAGCCCTGTATTGAAGAATACAAATCTACTGTCTTGACAGGAACTCCTTCATTTATATACACTCAAAAAATATTTAAGCTTTTCTTCTAATTATGTTCTAGCCGAGGTTACTGACGGTCAATTCATGTTGTTTACATACGGTCTGGTAATTTTAGTTGCCCTGGTACCTGCCCAAGTCAGTCTTTCCTAACTGCTATCACTGTTCAAAAGAGATTAAGTTATACTTGCAAATGCAAGGAAGTAAGGGTATCCAGTGGGTGCTGCTGAGACTTGCTCTGCAACACCTGCCATATAGACTCAAGATGAGACACACAGGAAAAAAGGGAGAGGAAAACCTCAGCCAACTTTTAATTAACTCCAAAAAACAGAAGAACTTCAAAGGAATTGTGCTGTTGTGCTTGGCCTCAAAAGAGGCCAAGCCTCTTTTGGAAAAATTTTCTTATAGGAAAACCTATACCATTTGCATGTCCAGAGATGCTGGGTAACTTCAAACCTTATTTTATTTTCTAGATCTCACTGAGAACAAGCATTGTTACTTTGTGTGGCTGAATTGCAAATAGAACGCGAATCACTTCCACTTCTGCTCTACATGTAAGTGCTACAGCAGTGGGGTTTATGGTGTTGGCTGAAGGTGTGCCAGCGGTTTCTTCATGTCTTCATTACAAAACCTTCAAAGGTTTGTAATTTGGCTGTAAGTGTAGATTTGGAAAAGAGGGATCGGAAGTAGAAGTTGCCTATGCCTTTCACCATGGTGCTGGGTGCTCTGAAATTGCAGATTTAAAACAAAGTTAAATAAGTATTTTGAATTTTGGAAATACGTAAAAACAATATTTATTTTTTTCTGTTTTGATTTCCAAGGTGTTCCAACATGGGATAGTGCCACAGAAAGGCCCTGCACTGATAATTCATCTCTGTTGCCTTGGAGTCAGTTGGGTAAGTCCAAGTTGCCATAAAGTGTGAGGATCTCACATTGTTACATGCTGTATATTTCATGTAACCACATTATAACTCATAGTATTTCAGAACACTAGTGGATGATTCATAGTACATACAAAAGAGTCTATCCCAGTTTCAGAATGAAATTAATTCATCAGTTTGCCTGAGGTACTTGTAAGAAGCTACCTGTAGTATAGGTCAAATCTAACACCAGTTCAAATCAATGGAAAATTTTCTTCCCTGCCAGGATCAATCCTGGCTACAATAAAAAAAAAATTAGTCCTGTTGTGTTCAGCAGAATTATGGTTGATGCTCACTGCGATCAATGAATGCTATTGTCCATCACCTTCCTGAGCACTACTCTTAGTCTAAAATTATAACTATTTACTCCTGGTATTTTAACCTTGAAAAAGGGTTGCATCCATCAAAAGTATTTTTTGGGTGCATTCATCAGAATTATGTTTTCTGAACTATCTTGAGAACTTTAGCAGTTAGCAATATTGCATACTAAGGATCCTCATATAAATATTGTATATATTGAGTTTTTAATGTGCTGAATTGGTTCCTCTACAGCACTGAAATTCATCATGTCAACGATCAATAGTTTAAGGCTCTGAAAACATAAACTGAAGTGTTAGGAATGTAATGGGCTTTAAAGGACTGCAGTTGTCTTCTGTGGTACAGAACTGCAGAAATGAGGCTTCTCATGCTGTGCACCTGTAATAAGAATGATTCCAGAAAAGCTGCTTCTTAGAAGGAAAATACAGGCATTCATGTTTAATTTTTCGTCATACTTTTTTTTCTTTAACCCTATGCTATTAAGAATGCCAAAACCCCCAAAAGACCTTCCATCAACTCTCTGGACTGTACTATAACAGGTAGGGAGTATAATCCAGTGTTTAGACTACGAGCCTGAGGCTTGATTCTTCTCTCACAAAAGTGTAGGGAAGCATGATTTGGTTGGCATTAATGGAATTACTATGTGATAAAAGCAATTTAGACTGAAAGACTCTAAATCTGGCCATTCTGGAAATGTGTATTTTATTTCCAGTTCTGCCACTGATTGGTAGCGTGACCTCTGGCAAAGAGACTTACCCTCTCTTGTAGGGTTTCCCCTTTGTAAACTAAAGAAATACAGTTAACCCACTTTACTCACAGAGCTTTATAAAAGTAAAAACATAGCATGAACAACATATCATGCAAAATACTGTATTAGCAGTTGCTAATTAGTCATAGAAGCAGTTGCTTCTAATGACTGAGGTAGGCCTCTTTTTTGAAGCATGAGTACATCACAGGTAAGTTGTTATTAGCAGTAACTAAAATAGTAAATTCTGCTTGACTTCGGCTGGCTCCGTGTACAGAGTACTTTTGTACTGATTTATTTTCCTCTACGATTTCCTTGGTTAATCATGATAATTCATATATATTTGTATTTGGTTTACTTGCTTTCAAGGCATGAATAAATCATATTACCCAGATGCCTCTCATTTAGAAGGAAGGAAGTGAAACACCAAAATCTGTTATTTTAAACTATAAACCTAATTTTAGGCTGGTACACATGGTATAATTGCAAAGATGCTTTTTTTTTAATTTTTCATCATTAATGTTTAAATATAAAGCCGTTTAATATATACACATGCACAAAGTTTCACCAATTAACTTTGCAGATAAGTGTTAATACTAAGCTGGAAAAATCAGGATATTGAAAGCTTTGAACATGGTATTGTATTTAGTTATTGCAGGTGCCTAATAACTGAGTATGGGCTTCTGTGGCACATGTACTAAAGCAACACGTGCAGTGAGTTTATCTCTGAGTAGTCTGTCCTTCTCCAGCTATAAACTGCATCATAACATTGCATTACTTGAACTTCCTTGCTTCTTGTAAGAAAGGAACATACTTCAGGACAAATGTTGTAATAATGTTTATTTCTGGGCAAATGGCTTGATATATTTCCACATTCCACCTTAAGCCATCTCACACGCTAGTTCTTTCATATCACCTCTGCAAGGGCTTTTGGACAGACATTTGCCCTGTTGATGTCACTGAGAGTTTACCACTGAGTCCAAGAGAAGTAGATGATTAGAAATTCAATTAGAAAGTATTGGCTATTGTTAGTAGCTATGTCCTTCCTCTTTAAGAAGGGCTAACCTGGATTTCCTTTTTCTGGGAAAAAAAACCCAGCATTCTGAAAAGACTGAAGAAACACAGCTAAACCCAAACCATGTAGTAGTTTTAGTGTTTTTTTACTTACATCACATTTGTGCTGAACTTAGAGGGGATTCTGGAATTTACTTTAGTCAGTGCAAGATTGGGTTCTTAGCAATAAAATGCTGTGTTCGTCTTCACTGTAACATATTAGACCAAGTGCTCACAAAGTATTTTGGGAACCAGACTGAAGAATTCTGAAAAAAAAGCTATAAATACAGTGGGCTAAATCAAAGCAGCAACTGTGGGACCCTTTCCCAAACTGAGACCAGTTAAAGCACGTGAAGTCTTCTGCATTCATTTTTTTTCATCTGCGTCTAGTTGTTTTCTCCTCTGTGGCATCAGCTGCCTGGTATTCTTTCCAGGGAAACATCTGTCGTGCATAACACCATTCTATTTTCTTGAAGGAATATAACATTTGACTTCTAACACAGCTTTGGAAGCTGCATTTTTTTAAATGCTTAAATGATCAATGTGGACTTCGGTGCCTCCATATGCTCTTCGTGTGATATTTTATACCAATATGTAGAATTATCACATTGTTCAAATTATTATCTTTTTTTCCACACACCTTCTAAGGTGTTGGAAGAGAAAGATAATCTTCTTCAGAGATCTGAAAGTAGATTAATAAAAAATAAAATCCCAAAGCCAATTTCCTCAAGAACAAAATTATTCATAATATTAATCATCAACTTCATTGTTGACCTTGTGATATTACAAAATATGTAAAAGGAAAGGCAACAAAGAGGGATTTTTTATTTTTATTGCAACAATTATGCTTGATCATTTTTAGTATAGGTATAGATAGGACGTAATTCTTGTTTAGGTAGGAGATAATACCAGAGTAATGGAGGAGGAAATGTGAAGTCATTCAAAACCAGACTGTACATAAATATATTTAACCCTGTGGAGGGGTGCCAGCACTGATGAAATGTAAAGCTGATCAACTCTCCAGGGCTGAATGCTGAAATTGTGGTTCAGTGCTTAAGCACTGAAAACTTCTAGTGAAGCCACTGAGGATTTTGCTAGGAGTGTTTGGGGGAGAGCACAGGTCTCTGGCTGGGTTCACAGATTACTCAAGCACCAGTATTAACTTGCAGACCCCGCTATCCCAAGAGGTGGGGAAAAAAAATCAGAAAGCAAGTGATACTACGTGAACAGTTCGCGTTTAGAGCAAGGCATCCTTTTGCTTTTCCATCTGCCACTTCTGTGGACCAAGTGCTTCCCAGAGCATTGTGTCCGATTGCAAAAAAAGGGAATGCCAAGTCCTGGCTAACTGAGCCTACTCGATGCTTATGGCACGGCTTCTTAACGAGATTTACTTACTATTAGAATAGCTTCGAACAAAACTAGGTAGGACCTTCGTCTTTCCGATGTATCTGCTGATGTAGGAATTTAAACTCCCCTGTCAGAAAAGCCTTTACTGTCACTTCGGCAGGTCTCCGTTTCCCCTCCCGCGACGGGGACTCGGCTCCGGGATAGGGAGGGCTCCTGCCCGGCAAAGGGACCCAGGTCCCGCGGAGCCACCGCGCTCCCCCCCACCCCGCAGCGCCCGGCGCCCCCAGCCCCGCTCACCTCGCTCGCAGTCAGCGCGGCCCCGCTCCGCCCGGCCCCGGCCGCCCGCGGGAGCGCAC